GAGAATGTTGAATGGTCCTCTTGATCAGAGTTTTATGGCTGTTGATGGCTGTAATGGCTTCTTGAAGGAATAAGAGAGAAAATACCTGGAATCACTCACAGGGTGCCTAGAATCACTCTAGGGCATGGAAATCACTCAACATAGCTAGCATAAGCTGAAGAAAACTCAATAAACTTCATTGCCTTTGTATAAAACATCCATATATATTTATAGACTCTAAACTCATAATAATCCTAGGAGTCAAATTGTTAGACTCATAATAGTCTTAGGAGTCAAACAATTAGACTTAATAATCCTAGTAGGACTCAAACTAAGCTGTCATATCCTATTTCAATTCAAAGAAGACTCAATAACTCTAATCCTCCGTATGCAATGACTCTGAAATTTTAAACATAAACTATAACTAGACAATTAAAACCCTATCATTGGACCCCACAGAAAATTGCAAAATGACAAAAATACCCCTACTGTCCAAAAATACATAAAATATCATAAAATTCCAATTTTGACTCTTCAACTCCTTCATCATTCTCCCCTGGTTCAAAAAAACTCATCCTCGAGTTTTGAAGAACTTGAGGATGAATAGTTAATATGCCCCAATTACAAAGGGAGTAGTACTTCCCACAACTACATGCTTGGACGGTAGAGTAGAGAATGTTGAATGGTCTTCTTGATCAGAGTTTTATGGCTGTCGATGGCTGTAATGGATTCTTGAAGGAATAAGAGAGAAAATAGGGAGAGAAAGAAGAGAGAAAAATACCTGGAATCACTCATAGGGTGCCTAGAATCACTCTAGGGCATGGAAATCACTCACCATAGCTAGCATAAGCCGAAGAAAATTCAATATAATTCATTGCCTTCGTGTAAAACGTCCATACATATTTATAGACTCTAAACTCATAATAATCCTAGGAGTCAAACTGTTAGACTCATAATAGTCTTAGGAGTCAAACTGTTAAAGACTCAATAATCCTGGTAGGACTCAAACTAAGTTGTCATATCCTATTTCAATTTAAAGAAGACTCAATAACTCTAATCCTACTTATGCAATGACTTGAAGTTTTAAACATAAACAAACTATAACTAGACAATCAAACCCTATTATTGAACCCTACAGAAAAAAATTATAAATGGCAAAAATACCCTTGGTGTTCAATTCAGTCCAAATCCCAAGTACCACCACTATGTCATATCAGGACCTGTTGTAAGGCCTTCTTCTTTCTAGAATGCAGCCATGTTTGGGAGTGCTTAAAAATATGTGCTTATTTGGGCCAGGACCACACCATTAAGCATTATTGGTGTTTGGGAAATAAGTCTGGAATAAGTGTTTATTTTAAAAATAAGGTCTTATTTTTTAAGCCCAAATTTCCAGCTTTTTTAAGTGCTTAAACAATAAGCACTTTTTTGATTTTTTTCTGCCAAAACTGTCCCCGTTTAATTTTTACAATTCCACTTATGTCCTTGGAATGTAAAAATAGGGTTGCTTTGAAGATTTGACCAAGTGAATCTATGGTGGAGGAGAGGCAAAACCTTGATCTCAAAGGAGTTTATAAAATTATTGAATTTTCTCATGCTTGTGGTTATCCATCTTCCACATAGTAATTATACCTCCTGATGCCCCCCACGAAGGGGCCACCACCCAATCAATGTCTCTAGCCTTCCATAAACTTCTAGCCCACCTATTATCAAACACAGCTAGCTTGGATTCCTGAATTAAAACTACTGTTGGCTTTTCTTTCCTCAACACCTCTTAATTACCACTCCCTTGAGTTTCCCAGCCCTCTTGCATTCCAGCTTACTGTCTTCATTTGCTCCAATTAACCTTCCCCCTTTTTCTTCCCATCCTACCTTCCTCCTCTTCTTTGCTCCCCTCTTCTACTAAATTCTTTATCACCTTCGATATCTAATCTCAACCTCTCTGCCTCACTTAACTTCCTTTTCTTTGACTTACCCCCATCTTCAAGTTTTCTAACAAAGATTTTCAGCTCATTCGGATCCTTAAATTTACACCCTAACTTCCCAACAAAATTTGCTATTGAGTATTCCTCTTCCTCACTACACCTTTTCTTCCTCCCGACTTCTAGGGTCAGCAGTACTAATTCCTAACTGTGTCACCTCTTTCTCAGACCCTACCCTTCCTAATAACACTCCCTCATTTTCCAATTCCTGATTTTTTAGAGTCTCAAACATATTTTTTATTTACTCCCAAATCCTTTCTCCTTTGTCCTTCTCCTCTTCTTCCTCACTACTTCCTCTAATCTGCAACTTCGGTTCCATGTCTACCCCCCTTCCTTTATCTAAATCATGGGCACTTGGGACAACGGGATGAATAGAAGCTGGAGAACCTGCTTCAGGCACAACAAGAGGGTCAGTACCAAAAACTAAAAGGACAACAGTACCTGGGGACAACTGGGGTTGAAAAGGATTAACCAATGGTTCAAGGTCTGTTGAGTTTTCCTGCTCCATTGTATGAACAAGATCTGGACCCTGGATTGTCTTTGAAGTTACCATGTCATTAATGAAGTCTTGAACTCTTCCTGACCTCTTTTGTTTACCCCCACTCCAAGTGCTTTTGCTCGGCCTTTGGAAATCGTTGTCTATCTCCTTACTGATCCCATGATCTTCTAATGGTGTAGGAACAGTAGCTCTCTTCCCCTGGGTTTCAGTTTCAAACTCCATAACTGTCCTAGGCACGATTGTATCACTGCTGTTTGCTTCCATTATGTCCAAAGAGGACTTCAGTAT